TGGAAGGTGAGTAGGAGGAATCTACTTACATATATGGAGTACTCTGAAGGGTCGGCTTAAAATGAAAATTAATTTTGTTGCTAACAATCACATAAGTGAAAAACAGATATTTCACCCATCTGTAACTGTTAGACAAAGCAATTCTGAGCTCTCTTCAAACTTCACCTTTCTCAGCTACAGCTTTTTTTTTAACCTAAAAGATTTTTTTCACTCAAAGAATCTATAACACTTGCTGTGTACAGTTTGCAAAGATTTCTAATGAGAGCAAACTCCTAAAACCCTTTTCTTTTTTTAGATAAACATATTTGATTTTTCCAGTCATTATCATTTTAACTTGCAAAGTGACATTATGCCAAAAAGAAGGGATTCATAAATTAGTTCCAATTTAGAAAGTTTTCTTGTCATTGTATAAATGACAGATCTTTAAAAAGATGACTTAAAATGAAATGCAATAAAAAAAAATTTCACTTTTGTGGCAGGTTTTTCTTCTCCTTTTTTTTTTTTTGACTGAAAGAATAAAACAATGTGCTATCAAAAAGAAATGAGTAGTAAAAAAATTACAAATGTGCATGGGCAGGAAACTCATTTAAATTCTTAGATTGTTTTAGGAAAGCTAAATTTAGTTGGGACAGTAACCAAATAAGATGTAAGCAGAAAACACTTTCCTAAGTTTAATTCACATGTCAGTAGAAATTAATAAAGCATAATTCACATCCAGCTTCGTATTTCTAAACCTGACGGTGGTTAGAACTACTATTATTTTGGAGTTCAACTAGAAATTTGCTAATCCTGTTACTAGGCTAACGTGTCACCCATGCATTTTGTTTCTATTCTCTTTAAAGACTGTGAAATTCAGATGCAGATTCGGGTTTGGCTTTCAAATACCTTTAATGTTTAGGAGCGCTTGATTTGAATTCCTTTAGCAGATGCATTTCTGTAATGAAAGAGATGATATATGGAGAAGTATGAAAAAAAGACATGAGCACAAGAGATGTCAGGGTGACTGTGAAAGCTAATGGAAGGCTGCCATCTGTGAAGGGGAGAACGCAAATTTAGGGTTACATGTGAAGATTTTTTATAGTAGGAAAGCATTCTTAGTTTTGAAACATTCAAACAAGGTACCACACCAAGCAGCTCTTAGGACTTCTGGGACCAAAGTGATCCTTCAGTGGATTCATTACTGTAGCTTGAGCTTGGCTCAAAGCATTATTTAGCGGGAGTACCACATGGTTGTTCTGGACCTATGGATAGCAAATTCTTTAAAATATTCTTACTAATGTAAAAGTGAACTGAGCAATTTAACCACATGGCCATTAACCTATAAGAAATAGCTTCCTAACATCATCTTGTCTGATACTAACTATCCCAAGTTACACACAAGACTAACGCCAAGATGTATTTGTCACGTTAACATTTATTTTTGTGTTTAGTAACCATATGTTTGATTCTGTAATGCTGAGATTCTACTACTCTGTTTTTCTATTTCAGGTGTCTTCCCTGAAAGTTTAACAGTTGCCAAACTTAAAAATTTGCTAAACTTAAGGTAATCATGGCTCTGTTCAACACCTCAGTTTGACTCTTCATTTCTCAATGAGTTTTCATTATGATTTTTTGGTGAGTTCTCATACAAGAAATTTTAGCTTCAAGTTTTAAGCAAAAGAATTTTAGGATGAAGTTACTTTTTCTTACTCAAGATTTCACAATACTATCTTGTGAATCCTGCACCACTACACACTGTGACTGGCAAAACATTAATTTTTTTGAGTCGTTTTCTTCTTTTGCAGCACTGTAGAAGCTTCAGTTGAAAGTGAGTCTTTAGGCAGCTTAATGATAGCAATGTGCAGGTTTAAAAAAATACATCTGTCACAAGCCACTAGATATCAAAATACAATAAAATACTTTGGTGTTCTTTGCATTGCAAATTGGTACATAATTTATAGAAAACAGGTTTCTGTAGGGAGTGAGTTCTACCATCAGCTAAAAGAACACTATTTGATGTGCAGATATACTGCCATAGTGCTAGTCATTTTAATGTAATCCATTATTTATACCTGTAAAAATAGTGATTGCAGGACACAATTTCTAAGCTTTCTTTTTGAGTGCCTCTTTCACAGTGTGACAAAATTTGTCTGTCAATACCTCTTTCTGTAAGAGAAAGCTGAACATACAAATTTTCTGGATGTAGTCTAAAACTATATTTCAGACCAGTCATGAAGGAATCGTTAATTCTTGAGGCGCATTTCTTCTAAACAAGTAGTTCTTGTGTACAAGCTGGTTCCCTCTCTAGTCTGACCAAATGCAGAGGATCATAAAGTGTAATTAAGAGCATTGATTGTCTCTGTATGGGTATACATATGTGTATGTGTATGCATGTACATATACACACACATCTATGTACAGAATGATCTTTCTGAGGAGAATAATTGCAACTGAAGTCTTTTAGAGCTGAAAATACATTCTACAGTATTACCCCAAAAGCTGCCTGCTATGGTGAAAAACCTGCTATAATGCTGTTAGGAAATGAATAAAAATGGAGAATGCAGGACACAAAGGAAGCAACACCTAGAGGTTAAAAATATTTGTCAAACTCATTTGTAATCACATCTGAGAACATTTGTATGAGAAGACATCATGTACTATGATCTCAAGAAACAATTCTTTGAATCACAGAGGCATTATGAAAACTCTGTTTTCCTCATCTCAGCCTCACAGGAAACACAGGTTTTGCACAATGCTTTTAGAAACCTTGAAAATAACATTTTAGACTTGAGTTTTAGATCAGATTGGGGTGTATATGACAATACACACAGCTATGTTAAAATAAGGAACAGGAAGACAACCTAATCAAGTACCAGCCAGTCTCTGATAAGTCTGTGGATATATAGGAAGCAAGTATCAGCTTTGAAAAGAATCTTCATAAAACTTTCAAAACTTGTCTTATTAACACTGTACGTGAGATGAGACACCTCCATGAAAATGTTAAGATGACAAATATATTAAGGCAATAAGATACAACTACACATTATCTATTGAGATATTATTCTAGAATAAGTTCAACAAATAACCTAGAGCTAACCTGTTTTCAGAAAAGTTTAGATTCTGAATACAAATGGGTCATTAAGTTCAACAAAGTAAATTGCAAGGTCCTACACCTGGGTAGGGGCAATCAATTTTTATGTTGAGGACACCAGAACTCCACACAATACTCCAAGTGAGGTCTCACAAGAGCAGAGTAGAGGGGCAGGATCACCTCCTTCAACCTGCTGGTCACGCTCCTTTTGATGCAGCCCAGGATACGGTTGGCTTTCTGGGCTGTGAGTGCACACTGAAGCCAGCTCATGTTCATTTTCTCATCAACCAACACCCCCAAGTCCTTCTCCGCAGGGCTGCTCTGAATCTCTTCTCTGCCCAACCTGTAGCTATGCCTGGGATTGCTCCCACCCAGGTGTAGGACCTTGCACTTGGCATGGTTAAGCTTCATGAGGTTGGCATCAGCCCACCTCACAAACGTGTTGAGGTCCCTCTGGATGGCATTCCTCCCCTCCAGGGTATCAACCGAACCACACAGCTTGGTGTCATCGGCAAACTTGCAGCAGGCACACTCAATCCCACTGTCCATGTCAGCGATGAAGATGTTGAACAAGACCAGTCCCAACACCGACCCCTGAGGGATGCCACTCATTACTGGTCTCCAGCCGGACATTGAGCCATTGACCACAACTCTTTGCTTGCGAAAGACTGGCGCTACTGATCAACTTCCAAAAATAATTTAATTTTTTGAACATTAACAGCTGTCAAAGTATAAACAGTTAATTGCCTTTTGTAGTTATAACCTTGTCTTCATTCTTCCAAAGTAATACATTCAGAAAATGTTTGCCTCTTCAAGCAACCAGCCTTATTTCAGTGGGGGATATTGGATCTGAGTCTATCTAGTACAATTTCAAGACAGTGAAACTGCAACTGATAGAAACTTCAACATGATTAGAACGATCTGTTATCCCCACATATAAACTTTTCTGGTTTTTATTTTTTTCCCTGTGTAGTAGACCTCCTTTTATTACTTTAATGGCTACATTTAAGGTGGAAAGTGAAATGATTTTTGGGGTAATGTTTTAGTGTCTGTTTCACAATGGTTTTTATTGAGCTGTAAAGCACTGCATGCATAGAAAAAAGAAGGTGCATTTTAGAAATAAAACTATTAAGTAACATTATCTTGCCATGGATCATTCCCACTGGGATAGAGGCACCATTTGAAAAGCATAACTGAATTCAATTAAAATATGATAAATTTTGATCTCCACCTTACCCACACTTTCAGCATTGCATGCTGATCAAAAAGCTAATAAAAGCATGACTGTTTATGTTTAGCAGCTTTTGCCTGATCACATATTGTACAACACGTTCATATTTTTCCCTGGCTACTTACAGTAGGGAATAACAGCCTTCTCATATGTCCTACACGGCGACATATGTGTGGATGGACACATAAGTCCCCATACCTAATTACCAATCTACGGTCCATCAGTAACAATCACTGTTACTTGTCATTCCCCAGAAGACACGCTTTTGCATATCATGGCAAGAGCAAGTGGAGTCCAGATGGGAGAATGAAATGACTGTTTATATCTGACACAAAATCACAGAAATGTGTGTCCAAAGTAAAATTCACAGAAACAACTTCATTATATTTTTTCTGTGGGACAAATCCAGAAACTGCATGTACCTTCTTTTCTGTAAGCAGACACCGACAGAAACATTGGAGATATGCGTAATTATCTTGAAATGACTGTTTCCTGATTCTCTCTGAAGAAAATGGAAACTACTCCAGTTAATTGAGAGTTAAATTAATATGCATTTCTGAAATACAGGCCCCATATCCATGTCGCAGGTCACTAGATCCCATGATCTGCACACAGGAGATTAACAACGTCTTTTGAAGTATATTGGTTTTCCTATCACATATATGAACACTGTTTAATATAGAAAAGTAATACTAAAACCCAGGTACACAGTAGGGAAAGACCATTTCTGCTTTACAGATGGCCAGCTGAGACATGAAGAAACGACGTGATTTTTCCCAGTGTCAGACAAGATACCTGTGTCAGAATGGAGCAAATTTAGGCCTTCTGAATCTTGGCTGATTTTCTGAGCTGTCAAACTATTTTTCTTTTCTGATATGAATAAACCTCTAGTTGCAAAGTGGATTGGTAAAAGCATCATGGGATTAAAGACAAAAAAAGAGAAGAATCATCTGACACAGTATAATATAACCTGTATAGCAGCTGCCTTCTCCAGAATTATATCCCAAAATATTATATAAAGTTAAATAACACACTAATTAAAAAAAGAAAAAGAAGCAGAAGAAAAACTAAGTACCTTAGACAAAAAGATGTTTCAACTGAGGCATGAAAATAAATGTAGGTAATAATTATCACTTATGCAATTCTTTTCATCTGCAAAATGCTGTATAAATATTACTTTCAAAATCCTCACAACACCTCAGGAGGTGGGTAAATATTAAGCATAATGTAAAAAGTTATGCCCTCATATGATATAAACCAATTTTCCCTCTGGAAAAAAAAAAGGTTGGAAGGCAAAAAAAGTTTATTTAAAGCACCTGAGCTAGCCACATTCTAAAGAAAAAACCCTATACTGCCATCCAAGAGGGTTGTAATTCTCACAGGCATACATGAGCTAGCTTTAATTAATCTAGCACAGACTCGGCACATGTATGGCAACTAGGGTTCAACAAGGCTACAAAGTCTATTCCAGATTCCAGGCAAATAGTGTAGGACAGTTAGCCTGGATTGCATTCAGCACTAAGTGGTCATTAGCAGGATACAAATTAGCTAATTAAAAGCGGACGTGAGTACCTTGTTCAAAGGGTCCTCATACATCTACAATGTAGCATGAGCAGATCCAAAGCTGAGGCTGAAACTGTAGAGCTGGCTCCGAAGTTTTCTCCAACAGCTCAGAAGCAGCTATGCAGGCACACACAGTGAGGCTATTTCACACATGATGGAGCTGCAGTGGAGATGGAGCTTTTACACCTGCAGAGCCTGCCAAAATAATGTAAAAGGGCAAAAGGGAAGGTGGTAAGTCTAATCAAAGACAAAGTTTTGGGCTGAATAAAACACTTAACTGCTTGGAAAATTCCATTAGATTGATTAGATACTTGCCTTAGGGGCCTCTTAAAACACCTGTTTAAAAAATAATAATAAAAAAAAAAGATAGCTATTGCAATGCGGCTTAAAAATATTGGCAAAGCAGGAAATGGAGCTTATTAGAGCTCAAATTAGATCTGAGATTTATGTGAAGAACATTTGGTCTCTTTAAAAGGCCTGCTTAATCCCTAGATGGCTTTTATTATTTCTATTATTATTATTTATTTATACAGTGGCATGGTAAACATTGGTCCTCCCCCAGAGAGTTTACAATACCTGTTCAGGCAAAGAGTCAAGTACAGGAGTAACTTCTTTTACAGAATAGCCTCCCTGGGAACCAATGAGATTTAAAGAACAACAAAAAAAAAATCAACTTACTGACATGATTCCACCTTCCAGATCAGACTCTCTAGTCTCAGACATTCAGTCTTAAGTCACAAGTGTAGAACCCAGCTCACAGGAGTAACTACCTGAGTTTCAGTAAGTTCTGTTGAGCGAATCTCAGTGTTTTGTTCCAGGTTATGGATGAGAAACATAAGCAAAAGCAATAAAGGGGTGAAGATAAACTGGTTTGTACTGCTAAGTTAGTTTCAGTGAAAGTCTTTCACTAGTATTTGTAATATTTTCTCAATTGGAGGAGTGAAAATAGTCAGTGATTGAGAAACAGCTACAGGAGGCCGTTTAATGCAAAACAGGGAAGCTGCAGTTTTTTTGTTACTTCTTACTGTACACTAGTGTTAACGAGCTGTTTCTTTAGGGATGACTGACCAGATCTCTCCATCTCTACTCTCAGACTTCTGAATTTGAATATTATTATAGTGAATGTATTATATTTCAGGTATAAACTTGAAGTAATATTGTGTGGAAGTGTTCTTTCTTATTTTACTTTCCAAAAGTACTTATGGTTCTGTTAAAAAAAACTATATACTGTTTGTTTCTCTGGAAGATGACAGGATACTATTCTCCTTCTTACCTTCATGATGCCCCTATTTCTGTGAATGGAAAATTGGAGCTACCTCAAGTGACTTCTCTTTTGGAGGGTAGTGATGACTAGTCCAAATGTACAACCCTATTTGCCTGCATATAAACTTTTAATAATGTTCATTAAACTTTATTAGAATTGTACATGCAGCCAGATCAGGGTTACAAATTAAAACCTCAATCCAGCAAACACTTAAGGAGCTTTATTCATTTGAGCAAAAAAAATTTCTATACTCACACACTTAAACTGAATCTGTAACCTAAACAAAATCCCTTTTTGTTTAGTCCTCTGATATTAAACTTAGAAACATACAGTCAAGAAAGAAATTGCATGTTACTACTGCACAAAGGAGCAAACCACTCCCCAACTTTTTTGAAACTGCATCTTTAAAAATTATCACTATGTATAAAAAAATTTCTGATGCAACAGGGTTGGAAACACCAATGAACAAATGAAATATGACTATATGCATGTAATGATATACAAAAGTCCTGGTCAACAGGGACACTGAAGTCTGAAGAGGCTTTGCAATAGTCTTTATGGGCAAAAGGATCAAACCAACAGAGCCTGATCTGAGGGCCCTGTGAAGCCAGTAAGATTTTCCCCATTGATAAGGTTTGAATCAGATGTACAGTGACAAACAGAACTGTAGGTAAAGATGCAGCCATAAAAGCCATAAAGAATTTTTAAAGACAACAAACATGAGTGTCATAAAGCCAAGGTCAAACTCCCATCAACCAGACAAGTATGTGTGAGTTATACCTCTTTTAGGCCTAAATACAGTATTTATTGGTATTGATTTACCTTGAAACAAAAGATAAATTAATCAATTTATTTTAAAACTATGGTTCTATTAATTGAGTAATTTCCTTTGACAAATATTTCCTAAACCCATTAGCAGTTATACTATTTTTTTGTTTATATCTGACATGAGACTATGTATCATTATTCATGCATAGTCTGATTCTGATACCTTGCTTACAATTTGTTTTGTATATTTTGTTATGTAAGCAAGAATTAATATACTCAGAAATGGAAGAAATATGCTATATAATCTTTGACTACATTTTTTTTGAATATGACATACATCATCTTTAAGTTACAGACAACATTCAAGATAGCCTGAGTAAAACACAAATAAATACACATATGGGCAAGGACAAATATACTAACTGGAAAATTCTATAGAATACAGGCTTGCATATGGGTACATTAAGCATGTGTACCTATAAAAGCAATGGAAATCATAATCTGACTCCAAATTTTCGAATAAGCATAAAAAATTGTCTAGCTTAGATAATAACAGTCACAGGTTGCTCTCCTACAGCAACAAGGTGACAAAACCTCAGATCTTCCATTTCAGTTTCTGCACATGGGAACACCCCATCACAATTAGTACACTCTTTTCTAAATACTAGCACCCTCCAGTGTGCACACCCAGTAACATACACCCATCCCTTGTTTGGTGAGCTTCCTACTGCAAAGATAACCCACCAAGCAGGAATGCAGATTAGATGTGAAGTAGCAGACGCTTTCATACAAACCCAGGTTTGCACAATTCCAGTGGTGGAAGTATATAAAGACCTGGCAATTCTGACAGAGTAATTCAGATGAGAAATTGCTGTGAAAATTTGGAGACTTGCCTTCAGATGTATCATTTCTAAGGCAACCAGGTTTCCTGTCCTCACTTTTTTCTTCCACTGCTGCTTCTCTTAGTCATTTTCAACTAGTGTTACATGAGTGAAGTTCTCAGGCCACCTGGACTCAATACAACCTACTTGAGTCTTTTCCTTTTGACTATCATACCTTTTTATCATGGTAAGTCACAGAGCCTGAAGCCTTTCATCACGTGTAGGCAGGCATCTCCCCTGAAAGTCTTTTTGTTAACTGCGAGGAAAAAAGGACAAAAGCATTTTTTCTTTTTTTTTTTTTTTTTTGTTCTGATACAAAAGAATGTTTCTATTAAGTAGCTGAATTGAGAGTATGATGACTCAAAAAGGTAAGTACCATGTAACTGATTTATGTTCATTCCTGTGGTTCCTATTGCAATTTTGTTTTGATAATTCTTGTTATTTTGGATTTCGAGTATATGGAATGACAGGAAAAAAATTTAATGTTCAGAATGCTGAGACTCCCTGACTAGTTAATAATCCAGGTGTTTGTTTCTTTTTCTTTTATCCTTAGTCATAATTATATTTCTCTCTCAATAGTTAGCTTGGTTTTTATTTATTTTTATTATGTTTAGGTTTTTTAGAAAATATATGCAATTATTATTGATTTGGGCCTACATGTAATAGTATGGTTTTGTGGCATTTTAAGTTCTCATATTCACATCAAGGGAAGATGAAATAGATAAAACATCTCTGAAGGAATTGTCTGTGGTAGTAACTAGGTTGTAAAGTCTGACCTTATGAAACTAACCTATGTGGTTCAGTTGAAACGTTGAAGGGAAGCAATGGCATCCAGAGGGACCTTGACACGCTTGAGAGGTGGGCCAATTCCAGACTCGTGAAGTTCAACCAAGCCAATTGCAAGGTCCTACGCCTGGCTAGGGGCAATCACAGGCACAGCTACAGGTTGAGCGGAGAACAAGTTCAGAGCAGCCCTGTGGAGGAGGACTTCGAGTTGTTGGTCAATGAGAAAGTGAACATGAGCTGGCTTCACTGCGTGCTTGCAGCCCAGAAAGCCAACCGTTTCTTGGGCTGCATTAAAAGGAGCTTGACCAGCAGGTCAAAGGAAGTGATCCTGCCCCTCTACCCTGCTCCCACGAGACCTCAGTTGGAGCACTGTTTGCAGTTCTGATGTCCTTAACATAAGAAGGACATGGAGCTTTTGAAACAAGTCCAGAGAAGGGCCACAAGGATGATCAAGGGGCCATGAGCACCTCCTGTATGAAGACAGGCTGAGAAAGTTGGGGCTGTTGAGCCTGGAGAAGAGAAGGCTGTGTGGAGACCTCATAGCAGCCTCTCAGTATCTGAAGGGGGCCCTATAAGGATGCTGGAGAGGGATTCTTCATCAGGGGCTGTGGCAGTAGGACAAGGGGTGATGGGTTTAAACCTAAGCAGGGGAAGTTGAGGTTAGATATAAGGAAGGTGTTCTTTACTGTGAGAATGGTGAGGCACAGGAAAAGGTTGCCCAAGGAAGTGGTAAATGTGCCACCCCTGGAAGTGTTCAAGGCCAAGTTGGACAGAGCCTTGGGTGATATAGTCTAGTGTAAGGCGCCCCTGCCCATGGCAGGGGTGCTGGAACTAGATGATCTTAAGTTGCTTTCCAACCTTAACTATTTTATAATTCTATGATTCTATTTTATTATTCTGTGATTCTGTAAGTTATGTAATGAACATTGTAAACTAGACTGTTGGAGCTCTATGGTATTTCAGGGCCTGTCACACTATGCCTTCTGAATGCTCCTCGGATTATGAAAATGGTCTAACCTGTCTTGAAACTAAAACTAAATTTTATTCCTACTGATCTACTCACAGCATCAGATTCTAAGGGCAGCTGTGACTTAACAGAACCCAGACAATGTTCATACAGGTACCTCTTTTCCTTTTCAGAATTTCTATTGCAATGTAATGTTTAACCAAGAAACCACTACCGTTAAATTGTTTAATTTGTTTACAATTAAGAGAATATACTTCTCATCTAAATGTTTTATTAATATCACTACAGATATTGCCAGTAGCATCTTACAGTCATATTTTCAATTAAGTCCCACAGATCTTCAAAGTTATTTATGTGCCCAAATTCTAATGAAAGTATTCTGCAAAGCAGCCGCCTAATGTCTTTCAGGATGTAACTTGAAATCTTACTGGACTTTTACAGATAGATTAGTTTTGATGCACAGGGTCTTAAGTAATGTAGCCATTTTTGAAATCTGTGTCTTTGGTCTGCCATGTAATTGATCTAGAACAATGATCCAACATGTTGACAACATCTTCCAGCCTAATCTGGCCCTGGAGGTGAGTCTGAGATAGACGTGTCTGTGAAAGCAAATCATCTGTATAGAAATCAATAAAATGATGCAAAAATATAATAAGAAAACACTCACAGGTGGCCTACTAATAGGTTTTGCAACTCTTCCTTTATATTTAGATTTATCAGTAAACAAGGAACCATCACTGTCTATTACCAGGCACATAATCTTCAAGGCTGTACTTTTTGATTATACAATTTTCATGAACATTGCCTTTAATCAAAGTATCTTACCTGCTAATTCATGTCCTGACATGGCATTTCAGAAGAGGTAGCTGGATTTTTGACTGCTTTGCAATATAATGAGTAAAGCTTGGATGCTCATATTGTAACATACTTTCAAATGGAAAATTATCTTACTCTTAACTCCAGAATTATGATCTGTTTCCAGAATATTAAAATCTCAATATTCTCTTTTCACGAGTAAGGTCAATATAATTTTCTTCCCTATTTAGGATCATGTCCTGGGTTTAGCAGTAGCAGTCAATTTTTCTCCTTCTTGGTAGCTGGTGCAGTGTTGTGTTTTGACTTTCAGCCTGGGAACAGTGCTGATAACACCGATGTTTTCAGTTGTTGCTAAGTCATGTTTACCCTGACCAAGGACTTCGTGAGGCTCATGTTCTGCCAGGGAGGAGGGGAAGCCAGGAGGAAGCAGAGACAGGACACCTGAAACAAACTAACCAAAGGGGTATTCCATACCACAGCACGTCGTGCCTGGGGAGGGGTAACTGGCTTCTGGGTTGGACTCGTTTTTCGGCGGGTGTTATTGTATTCTCTTCCCTTGTTATTTTCTGTTATCATTGTTGTCGTTGGTGGTAGCGGTGGTGATTTGCGTTGTACATTGGTTGCTGGACTGTTCTTGTCTCAACCCATGGGAGTTGCACTCTTTCGATCCTCCTCCCCATCCCTCCGGGAGCGGGGAAAGGGAGAGCTGGGGCGGGGGAGGGGGCCTCAATTGCTTCCAGCCCGGCACCACTCACTGGGAGTGAGTGAACAAGCTGTCTGGCTAGGGTTTAAACCACGACACATCATGAGATAATTCAGGTTGAACGGGGCCTCAGGAGGCATGTAGTCCTACCACCTGCTCAAAGTAGGCTCAGCTGTGGTCAGTGAAGAGCACTCAGGGTTTATCCAGTTTGATCTTGAAAATCTGTAAGGACGAAGACTGCATAACCTCTCTGGATAACCCATGCCCCTGCTTGGCTTCCTTAGTGGGAAAAAGGTTTCTCTTCATCTCCAGGCTGAACCTTTCTTGTTCCTCCTTGTGCTTGCTGCTTCTCACCCTCCCACCATGCATCACTGTGAAGAGCCTGGCTCCATGCCCTCATGAACCCCCTTGCAGGCACAGGGGACTGCTATGAGGTCCCCCAAAAACTTTACCTTCTCCAGCTGGACAAGTCCCAAAACCTCAGGCACTTGCAGTGGTTCTTCACTGAACTCACAACAAGCTTGCCAATGTCTTTCTGGTTTTTGTTGATATTTACAAAAAAACAACAGCAGTTATCACAAAGCAATGGGTAAAATTAAATCCCAGAATCCAGTGATGTCTTCTGCTTGAAAAAAATGGGGTTTCGCAGGGCCGAGATATCACAGGTAGATTCTTTTATAATGCCTACCTCTGGCACACTCTATTTCTGAGTTTGCTCATTCTTACCTTTGATATTTATAATGTCTCCCCCTCTTCTAGATATTTAATGACTTACATGTTCCCAAGTCACTTGAGAAAAAATGTTGACATAATAAAATTTTTATGCTTCAAAGTAATAGGAACAATGGAGAGATGGTACTTATTAAAATATGATTACTGACTTGAACTGTATAGAATGGACATACTTATAAGAGAAAATTCTTGTCCTCCCAGGAGCAACGCTGTATATTCACTTTTGTTTTCAGTTCCAAATAGCAGGAATGTTAAACTGGAAAATGCACCTATTTTCAATTATGGCACTTTTCTGTGCTTCTTACTTTTCCAGTGGTTTAACTTAACTGCAGCAGAGAGAGGCTGGATGAGAGCAGTGAAAGATGACATCATATCTGTCTGAATTAACAAGGTGATAAAGAAGTACTGTAAGTTCAGCTGAATGGATCAAGAAGTAAGTAGAAATATAGTTTCCCATAGCTGCCTAAGACAAATCATGAGAACTGCTGTCTTTGGAAAAAAATCTCCTTTAAACCAAGACTAATTAATTTCACATTCTTGTTTTTTGTACATATTAATACTTTTTATGGTTCCTTAACCTGAATGTTTTTTTGACTTTTTAAATTTTAATGTGTTATATGTCCTTATGTTAATAAATAACTGCTAGGGTTGTTTTTTCCACTTTATTTTTCTACTATTCACACCATACCTACTTCTACATATTTACATTTATTACAAATGCTCTGCCTGCTGTACCTACAAATTATAGAATGTTGTCCATATGTTCTACCAGGGTTTTTTAATTTCCCTGAAAAATACTTTCATTCACCACGTACCAATAATTGTAACCAACTCTTTATTTTCAGTCAACAGAAAAATGTTCACAACTAAAGAATAATCTTTCATTTTAACATATACAATGAAGATGTGGTTTTGCTGGTATGTATCATGTTTAGAGCTGAGAAACAAGAGTCTAGAAAGCAACTCCCATCCTTGACTTGGTCACCAGGTTCCTTTCTGATCTTGAACACATCAAATAAAACTTAAGCTAAAATTTTGTCTTCACAGTTTCTTTATATTAGATTGAGATGCGCTGTATGAGGGACTGAAGCTGCCCTTCAGGGACTCTTAGTGCCATGATGTTACAATGACAGCTTGACTTGCCTCCTGCCACCCCAGAAGAATTGAAAAAGAAATCTATCCACACAGTGGAAAAGATGGCTAAGAAGTGTGTTTTCTAGGAGCTGGTTTAAAGAGTTAGTTAGACTAAGAG